AGGAGAGGAGAGGTGAAGAGGAAGAGGAGGTGGGACGAGGTGAAGAGAAAGAGGAGGAGGGGAGAGGTGAAGAGGAAGAGGAGGAGGGGAGAGGTGAAGAGGAAGAGGAGGAGGGGAGAGGTGAAGAGGAAGAGGAGGAGGGGAGAGGTGAAGAGGAAGAGGAGGAGGGGAGAGGTGAAGAGAAAGAGGAGGAGGGGAGAAGAGAGATTTTTGTAATGGAGGAGTTCGGAAGAGTGTGAAGTAGTGTGAGGTAGGAGGAGGAGGAGGAGGGGGAGGAGGATGGAAGGGGAGGGACTGGTGTGCTAGTGACGGAGTGACAGAGTGGACGTGGTGTGATGGTCGGGAAAGAAAGGAGGAGAGATATGATATGAAGTAGATGAGGAGAGTGAGAGAGAATCAGGGATACGTGTGATCGCTAGGGAGTCGAGTTAGAGAGGCGGTGAAAAACTAGACAGAAGGAAGTGCTGCAGAGAGTGAAAGCAATGTGAAGAAGAATCTTTTGCCAAACCACGTAGAGCGGAACACCACGAGCGAAACATAGTCGTGAACTTACTCCGCCGTTGAAACCACTTCTCCGTCGAGCAAACTAATTTAAATAAACTAAACTAATAAAACTAATTTAGTCTTGAAAAAATAAAGACTACAAATAATAAAAAAAGAAAATAATAATAATTAAGACTAAAAATAAACTAAACTCATATAACTAATTTAGACTTTAAAAGTCTGATTTCTACCACCAGGAGGCTCGGGAGCTGTCCTCTCTGCGACCCCTGCTGGAGGAGCAAGGGTTTGGCCTGTACGCTGTCGTTCACGAAGTGCTAGGCGTGCCAGAGTTCAAACCGTTCTTCGGCGATGGGGAAGTCTTCTTGGACAAGGAGGTGGGTCTGAATTCCTCTTCCTTGCCTGATGGTCTGGTGATGGCAGGGTTGGTGGGGATATCTTGTACTTAGGCCTAAAAAAGATACGTGTGTTTCCGCTAACTCGACCGAGTCCATTTTAAACCGCCGAGTTGAAACTTTTTATTGTGATCGGCAAAAAAAATGTTTTTTTAATATTTAAAGGGATCGTTTACTCTAGGTTCTAGGGTTATTTTCAGTTAATTCAGGTTAAAATTACGCTACATAAAAAGTTTCATGGTTCAATCACTATTAGAAATATTATTAAAAAATGTTTTAAAACTAACGACTACTGTTTGATTACAACGACGGTGGCGCCACTCAAAGCGCACGATCTGATGAGTTGCGCAAAACCACTTTTCAGCCAAGGGCTACAGACCGAGGGTGTTTGTTATTTATTAATTTAAAAGCAAAATGATTGTAATATCTTATAAACGACATATAGTTTCAGTTATAATATGGATAAATTTGCCCTAAAATGAATATCGGTTGATTAAATAGCATTTAGATATAAATATAATTGCACTTTTGTGATTAGCCCTCGGTCTGTAACGTGCAAAATAAATTGTCAAATACGCAAATTTTTAGGGGTAGCAGCACGGTCGCTGGTGTCATGGCGCTGTTCAAATTTCGTAGCGTTGATGTGTAATTAATTATAACAATTAACTTGGGTATCTGGTAACAAATACGTTTGGGTATAGACGATTTGTTATACAGTAAGTACAGTTGTATGCAGTAAAATCCTAGAGTCTACTATCCCTTTAAAAAAAAATCCCAACGTCATGTCGATTGGTGAATGCATTGATTTGACTTTGAAGTCATTATATGGGCTGTTATAAGTATAAAACTAGTATTGTTAGAATACAAAAAAAATAAAAAATATTTGATAAAAAAGTTTTGCCTGCCTAACGTGTCCAATTTTTTTCAATTCGTTAGCGGAAACAAACCTTTTTTTTTCTTAGGCCTTAGCATTACAGTTCTAGACTATAGTGAACCAAAAATGAATAGACAATGATTTAATATGTTGACTTGGGTTTGCAGTCGTTACCGTCATGTCTACGACTTATTGCCATATACACACGCCAAGCTGTAAGACTAATCTACTGTCTCTTGCTGCAGCGTAAATTCTACGGACCAAAGGAGCGTTGGGAGGGCCTGACGTCCATCTTGAGTTTTAAGGTCATAAATAACATGCGTAGGGCAAGCAAGAAGGGAGTATCCGGAAACCTGAAGGGTGAAGGAAGACTACTGGGAGGTGAGTATTTGCTAGGGTAAGTTTTTTAGATTATCCACTCAGAGAGGGATATAGATTATAGAGCTTATTGAGACATCACATCATCAAGCTATGGAAACACAGAGCGACTGTGTTTGGATTTTCAAAAGTAAACAGAGCTGGAAATTGCGGGATGTCGGAAGATTGATGAGGTATCCTAAATTAGCTTCAGTGTTGAAAGTTTGTTTGCATATAATTTTCCTAACATATCCCAATACAGTAGGGAAAATTATTCTCTCAATGTGATGTATTCTAATTTGTTCCCAATCAATTCCGAATCCAAACATTCAATGATTTTCTTAAATGCTATCTAAACTAATCGAATCTGGACGGATTTGGATCAGACACCATTCCCTTCGTGAAATTTGCCAGTAACCTTGACTCTCCTATGTTCAGGTGTGTTTGCTATCAGCGCCAGAGGCAGAGGAATCGTGTTCGAACACTACGAGGCGACCTTCGGCGACCATGCCGACCTTGAAAAGCTAATGGCTGCAGTTACAAGCAGCAAATCTGGTGAAGGTACGTCGGCGGAGGGAAATCGAGCGGTGGAGACGCCGGTCGCCAAGGACGCGGGTGAGGAGAAGCCGAGTGGGGAGAAGGGGAGTGGGGAAAACCCAAGCGGGGAGAAGGGAGGTGAGGAAAAGGTCGAGAAGGCTGATGCTGCGAAATTGTAACAGGGAGACGTGAAATGTGTTGTTGTTCATCGCATTCTGTGAATGTGTTTACATTGATTTACATCAGCACTTGCAAGTCGTCTTGTTGTGCTGCGGCTGAATGTTGTAGATTTTGATGTCTTGATCTTGCCATTTGCTTCGATTGCTGACGTCATACCACCATGACGATACGGCCGTAGTCTGAGCTGATTTCTGGATCAGTTCTCCAATTTGAGAAAATACAGTACACAATCTATTATCCGAAACCCTTGGGACCAGACACGTTTCAGATTTCGGAATGGTAGTACAGTCAACTGTCACTTTTTCACTATTAAAGTGATTACGTCACCGTAAATAATAAAAGTATAAAAAATATTTCCACTTTTCACTATTCACTTTTTATGTTTAAATTGCAGCATTATACTTGTTATTTTACTATATTGGTCGATGTAAACATACACTCGTGACTCATACATAGGCCATAGCAAGCAATTAATGTCAGGATCATAATATCAAATCGTCCAGGATTTTTAGATTTTTAACTAGTTGAGAAACAATCTTATCAGGTAAGAATTTGACGATACGTCTAGTTCCGTTAGTACTTACTTTTAATGTAAAAAAATGGCAACCAAATTTTTAAAAATATACACCAGAAAATTCGTAGTCAATTTAAGCTGGGTTTACACTACCGACTTTGTGTTGGCGAATTGGACCAACTTCCCAACCGTACAACCGACAATCGGCAGTGTAAACGCAAAAGTTTTTCGACCAACTGATCGATAGCAACTAGTTGGGAGATTAGAACATGTTCTATTTTCGCCAACTCGGAGTTGCTGAATTGCGAAATTAGTCCAACTCGCCAATTTGCCAACCTAAATGTGATATGTTTGATTCTATCATTGTGTCGCATTTTAATTGTAACTATTTTTTGACCAAGGATCACGTTATTTTAAATTTAGTATATATTCTAAAGATGGTTTTTAGTTGTAGTGATATAATTTTACGAACCAACATTTTAAGTGATATCTATATGTCTTATCAATGGGACATATATTATTGTAAATATCATCAATTTCAGTTTTATACTGCCTGATGATATCTTGTTTGCAAAATTTATTTTAATTGTAACGGTGTTAACACTAGTTTTGCAATAAACCTATTATCTATCTATCTAAAGTCGGTAGTGTAAACCCAGTTTTACCGTGATTCCCAAACGTCAGCCTTGCGGTCGATTACAATGTGGTAGTTTTGGATTGAATGAAATCTGTTTGCATAACAAATTTTATTTTTGTATGACATCTATACGAGGAAATAAATAGTTAACTAAATGAATAAATAAATAAATATTAATGAGAAGATATGCTGTTCTATATACCATATTTGATTCGGCATTGTTGCTTTTTCACGCGGTATTTTTCTGAGAAAATATTTGAAATAGTTGAGTGGCATATGGTACCATGATTTTTATTTTCGCATGCTATTTTTGTGACATTGTTCTGCGTTGAATAATGTTCGAGGCATTGGCCTTCTTTAGCAGTATTTCAGACGATGTATTAGATATATAATTGTTCTTGTGTATTCCTTGTTTATGCTCTTGTTGAAACATTCAACACATCGTTCCGTGAGCAGAGACAGTGCTGTGCTGTTCCATTATCGTAAAGTTACGTGAACAGACAGTGCCGTTGCATTATCGTAAAGTTACGTGAACAGTCAGTGTTGTTGCATTATCGTAAGGTTACGTGAACAGACAGTGTCAGTGTTGTTGCATTATCGTAAGGTTACGTGAACAGACAGTGTTGTTGCATTATCGTAAGGTTACGTGAACAGACAGTGTTGTTGCATTATCGTAAGGTTACGTGAACAGTCAGTGTTGTTCCTTGCCTGCGTGGCATTCCCCCTGCGGTGCGTGACGGCAGACAGCTACTATGACGAGAACAGCCGAAACTCTTGGGCTGTTCTTTGATGTTCTGCCGGATGTTCTGGCGTTCGCCTCCCGTCATCTCACCGGGGCGGTACCGCCGCGCCTGCGATGAGCAAAGATCACTTGCGAGAGTAATTGTGCAATAAAGGGTAATTTTCAACGTAGATGAATAGCGTCTTGTTTTTAGTTCTGTCTTCTCGTTTGTGTGTTTTTGCGTGTGCGTGTGTACGTGCGTGTCAGTGTGTACGCTGGTCTGTGTGTGTGTGCTCGCGTCTTCATGTAGGCCTATCAGGGTCCCCACAGCCCTTGAAAGTCCTTAAATTTTGTCCTTTGTCCTTGAAAGTCCTTGGAAATCGGTCCAATTCCTTATTTTATGTCTAATATCCTGGAATTTTACATGTTTGTCCTAAAATAAAAGGCAAATCTTCATTGCTGGTTATCTGACTGACCTTATTCCAAGTCTTTGATAAAAATATTAAATTTAATCCAAAATTCACATGTCATTGTCTATTATTGTACTCTACCAAAGTAGTTTGTTTTGTCCCTAATTTTTACTTGCAAGCGGTGTAGGGGTCTAGACTATAAGTTTATCATTTTAAAACATTTATTTATTACTTAGTGTTCATATATTGCTACACAATTGTGTCCATTTGTGTGTAGGAAAATACACACTGAGTAATAAATAAAAAAATATAATAGTCGGCCTTTAATCTACTGAGTTAGAGTGTAGTCTAGTAGTAGACAGCGTCTATAGTAAGTAATAATCTATATACAGGCCAGAACAGAGGGGGGCAGGTAGGCCAGTTGGCATGGGCCTACGATTTTGAGGGGGCCTATACTCCCCCTGGTACGTACATTCATACTATCGTCGACCTGATTTAAAAAGCAGTGCCGATTCTTTATACACCGGCCTGATAACGAAATACGACGTGCAGTCGGCTCGTTACGCTTCTTCGATCATTCATCCGTCATTAAAACGTATAATATATAAGTCACATGCGCGAATAAAGGTCTTGCTGAATGGCTGGGCGGCTGAGTGAAGCAGGTCACTGATGGGTGCGGCGGCGTCTGCGTGCTGACCTGTACTATGCCTCATTATGTTTCATTGTAATCAGTGCTAATATACTATGATTTATGATGCATTTATATACATGTGTAGTAATCGTTTATGATTCTCTTTTAAAATAAAAATATTTTGCATGCAAAATGATCGCCCTTGACTCTCTTTACAATATTGTAATACTTCTTTACAAAGGGTCCCCCCTTAGTCAT